TGTCCCGAGCCTCCTCCCACAGGCCTGCACTGTCCCGAGCCTCCTCCCACAGGCCTGCACTGTCCCGAGCCTCCTCCCACAGGCCTGCACTGTCCTGAGCCTCCTCCAGGCGGCCTCTCCCCAGCCGGCCCCCCTTTCTGTTTTGCAGAAAGTTCCGCCGGCCCGCAGATGTATACATTGTTTCGTTGTTGTTGTTGTTGTTTGTTTGCTTTTGGGGGGTTAGAGATGTTAGAAAACCATTCTGTCTGGGCTTTAGACCCAGCCCATTCCAATTTCACCGCAGAACGTGGCACTGGCGTAGCTACCACCGCCAGAGAATCAAACATCGCCTTCAGTGTTCATTGACGGTCTTCTTCATTTGAATGTCTCAAGAACAGTTATGGCTAACCGTACGGAGGACCCCCAGTTAATGGCGGGATCAACCACCCATCTCCCCCCACCCCACCCACCCACCCAGGGCTCAGGGATCTCCTGGGGCACAGAGCTCAGGGGGCTAAAATCCAGGAGGCCTTGGCAAGTTAGGATGAGTTCTCTCGACGTGCAGCCGTGAAGTGTCACACGTCAGTTCAACTTCTACTGCGTCTGCGGCCTTGAGTCTGTTGCTTACTTTCCCTGAGTCTCAAATCCTTCATCAGCAGAAGTGTTTTCTAAATAGTAAATTAGACCAGATCGCACTCCTTCGCGTATTTCCTGGAAGATGCCTTTTGTCTTTTGTTTCTATTTCTGTGTGTCTGTGTGCTCACATTTTTATTAGTGCACATGAATTGTACAGTGGGGGCTCATTGTGATGTTCCATCCATGTATATATTTTCCTCATATTCACCCCCTTGATTATACTTTCTGGCTTCCCCTCAGCTAACTCTCTCTACTTCATTTTCTTATTGTTGGTACAGCTAAAAAAAAAAAAAAATAGAGCTTTGGAAGGCTTTTATTTTTCTTTTTTTGAGACAGGACCTTTTCTATATAGCTCAGGCTGGCCTTGAACTTGTGATCTTCCTATCTTCCAAAAGCTGAGATGATGGGCAAGACTACCTTTGTCCTTTTATTTTCAAGTAGCATTCTGAGAAGAAAACACAAAACAGGAGGAAAAGAGTTACTTGTGGGGGTGGGGGCGGGAAATGCGAAGGTTTCCTGGCCTCCTCCCCTTTTCTTCTCAGCCTTCCTAGCTCAGCTTTAAGCAGCATCCAGTTAGGTCTGGGAAGTAGAGTTGTGGATATATTCTAGTACCGGAGTAAACGGGGGGGGGGGTCCCAGAGATGAGGAGCGGCTCTATCAGCTTGTGTCCACGCGAGATCTCAGGCCCGGCATGCCAATCCTGATTATGATCTTTGGTGTGAAATATTGATTGCCGTCAACTTTAGGACTTGTCTACACACTGTACAGGCCGATCGACACAGTCCACAGCCCCTTTATGTCTCTTCCGTCTCTTTCCTGGGTAAGGGCGTATCCAAAGTCCACGGAAGACCACTTCCTTTCTGCAGCTGGAATGATTAGGAGAAAAGATGACCCGAGAAATTTAACGAGGATCGTGCAAATACACAACCACAAAGACCGGACGCTCCCTGGCTTGGGAATTCGCCTTTATCTCGTGAATCTAAGGGCGCGAGCCTCCACCTGCAGGGCTGCCCAGCTCTGAGGGTGGAAGCTGCCGGCTGAGCTGTGCCGGTTTCCAGGCTGTCTGGATGATATCAGTCCTTCCTACCAGCAGGGCCCCGCGCTGACATCCGCACACCTCGAAATACCCCTGCTGCGCCCCGGGGCCGCAGGAAGTGTGCTCCCACATCGCCTGAGATAAAGAGGCTGACGCAGCAGCAAGGCACATCACGTCGTTGACAGACCTTCTCTGAGGCTTGATGAGTGGGTCATCACCCCTGGTCTGCCAGTACTAGTGCCATCTTTGCACCCCATCGCTGAAGCTGCCCGGGAGTGCTTCCAGAGACATAATACTCCAACCTATGCAACAGTATTATAAAGTCCTGAGAAGCCGACCTCGCAGATCCCCAGGACACTCCTAGCCTGCGCTAAGCGGATGAATTGGTCAAGGCCCACCAGTCAGAGTACTGGAAACAGGCAGAGGCCATGGTTCTATTTGTCTCGCGCCACCGCGTTTCCTAAGGCTGAGAAATAGAGATGGGAGCGGAGCCTTCCTTCCACGTGGAGGCCGGGCTGAACACCCATCACAGCTGTGGCTCCCGTGACTCTGGAACCTTCCTGGCTTCGGGGATCCTCCAGGAAGCATCTGGATGTCAGAACACAAGCCCACAAAGAAATCCATGTCTAGATACTGCCTAGTGACCATCCATGATGGTCGTGTGGCTTCTTCCTTCAAAGATAATGTAGTTTAAGTTTGTTTCCTTCCTTCCTTCCTTCCTCCCTCCCTCCCTCCCTCCCTCCCTTTCTGTCTTTCTTTCTTCCTTCTGGCAATGGGGTTTGAACTCAGGGCCTTAGGCCTGCTAGACAGGTGCTACACCACTTTGTACCACTCCTCAAATCTCTGTGGTTTATCTTATATTTTAATAGAGTCTGGCCTCATGCACAGGTCAGCTGGAACTGTGATCCTCTTGTCTATACTTCCTGCTTCGCTGGGCTGATCGGTGTAGAACGCCACACTGAGTTTATTCATTGAGATGAGGTCTTGCTAATTTGTTGCCTGGCCCAGCCCTGGTCTATCTCCTGAGTATCTAGGATTACAAGCTTCAACCACCACACCCAGCTCCTCCTCATTTTTTTTAACTCAATATAGTCTTAACTGCACAGTTGTGGCGATAGAGAATTTTCTACTTGCCTTTCACTTTTATTTTTTCTTGTTAAAGGAAAAGACAGTGGATTCAGAGTTCCACTCCTGCTTGATGACTATGAAGCATAGAAAGAAAAAAAAAACAGCCTTAAGATTCCTAACGCTGTGCCTCCCCACTGACAAGCATTCCTGTGAAGAAGTTTCGGGTCTGGTTTGCTCTGACATGATTCCAGGCTTCGGCTGGCAGGAGGGGAAATAAAAACTTCACAAATGAGTGTGCCCAGTGACAAACTGGGACTGAAGCTAGAAAAACGTGAACTCACGAGCATGTGGCTGAGGCAGGGTGAGTAGTTTCACCCTTAACTAGACTCAACGTCCCAAGATGATCGTTTGCAGATTTGCCCTCCCCACCTCCCCCCACCCCCCAGAAAACAATAAAAAGTATTTTCACCGGAATGAAGCCTTTAAAGACAGAGTTCACGGTGAAAAACCACCGTCTGGGATTGGAAAAAGAGACGAGGCTGCTTTAAGAGAGAAACAGGAAGTGGTAACTAGAAGCCAGCAGAATCCTAAAGCCAGAATGCAACGCTGCTCCTGAGCGCAGCCAGCGCAGCTGCAGTGTTGGTTCTGAAACTTCCCGGGTGCCAGGCTGCCTTGGCAAATCCTGACAACGCACGTGGTGGTCCGCCTCCAGGATTTCTATCTAAGCAAATCCGGAGGATGGACGGCGGGCCCCGCCGGCTGCCGGAGAAGGCTGGGTATCACTTCCATCACCAGGGGGCTGTGGAGCTGCTGGTCTTTAATTTCTTGCTCATCCTGACCATTCTGACAATCTGGTTGTTTAAAAACCACCGCTTCCGCTTCTTGCACGAAACCGGAGGGGCCATGGTGTACGGTGAGTGTGTCCACCGTGAGCTGGAACTTGTTGTCTGGGGCGTAATTAGAGACGGGACTGTGCTGATGGCCGGGCGGGTCGTTAGCCTGATGGGGGGTGCCTGGGTAGAATGGGTGCTGATCTCTCCGCCTCGGGTGGGAATTTGCCTTGTCACCAGCGTGAACGGCAGAGTCACGTTTCTGGGGGCAGCCCTGCATGCAAGTCTGTTGCTAGCTGAGGCACAGACCACACCCCTCCCCGGTGGGGAATAGGGTTCGGTGTTGTTATCATGAAAGCATGATCAAATAGGAGCCAGCCGGGGCTGGCTGCTGCAGAACTTTGCATTCCCTAAGATGCTCGCAGCTGCTCCCCTTTAGACTCATTTTCCTTCCCGGCCTTGTTTGCCTCTCCCCCCACCCCCTCCACCCCACCGCCCCACAATGCAATATTCAGAAAAGTACATCGGCAACTCCCAAAGCACATCATTTTGCAGAAGTTGAATGCGCGACCACAGAGTTTTCTAGACCCCCCATGATCATCTTTTCAAGCACAGAGCAGGACACCTGTCGTGGTGGATGAAAAACCAGTTCTCAGCCTTGTCATGGAGAGAGACTCAGTGGAAACGGATTGCTACAATCTGTAGTAAAGAACATACTTTTTGGTTGCCTCCTCCCCTTCCCCATTTTGGAAGCCCTGTGGCCCCTCTTTTGCCTGAGTTAGAAGGCAAAGTTCTACGCTAACCTGTGATGTGGTACGGTGAGACCGTACGGCGTCCTACATCTCGACTAAAGCCTGGCGTGGGACGCTTGCGTGGAGAGGCAGAAGTTTCAGCCCCAACAGTGAGATTTGTCTTTCTGCCCTATGCCAGCCCATTCATCCATCCAGGGCCCAGCATTAAATGTCCTTCGTAGGGGAAGTCTTAAGGCACGCACTAGGAACTCTCCTGGGGGAGAGGACATTTATGATCAGGTAGGAGAGGAAAAGCTAACCGGTAAGGGAGCAAGGCCCTCAGTGACCACCTTAGCCACACTCCAGCAGCTGCCTCCTCCCCTTCCGCTCTCCAGCAGACCAGAACCTTCCCTAACAAATAATAGATGTAGGATGTCATCTGGGAAGCCAGAAGCAATGAAGTCTTTGGCATCATATTAAAGATATACAAATAGATAGATAGATCTATATATATATCTATATATCTGTCTATATTATATATATAACATATCTATATTATATAGATATATAACATATCTATATAATATAGATATATATCTATATGTTATATAGATATATGTTATATAGATATCTATCTATATACCATAAATATCTATCTATATACCATAGATCGATCTATGGTATATAGATATATATTATATCTATATGTTATATATAGATATATATTAGCAAAACAGGACAGGTTTAAGATTGTCAGCCTTTATTAGAAAGGGAGGTTGCTTGACAAACCTGCGTTCCTTAAGACTCAGAAATCCTTTATATTCATGCAAGCCAATGTTTACTTTGGAATTTGGAAAATTTCAAATAACTGTTCACCCTTGAAAACTCCAGCCTTTAACATGGTGATCAGCACTACAAAGATACTACTTCATTGTTCTCTGTTGTGGAGATGAGTATTTCTCTTCAGTTGCTATTCTTAAGGTAGTTTACGAGCAAGTGTATAAGCAGGGAAGGAGTTGAGTTTTATGCTATCTTTCTTTTTTTATGTATATCAATATGAGACTTGTTGAAAATAAATATAAAACCAGGGGCTGGGAAGGTGGCTCAGTGGTAGAGCGCTTGCCTTGCATGCCTGAGGCCCTGGGTTCAATTCCTCAGCACCACATGGGCAGAAAAAGCCGGAAGTGGCGCTGTGGTTCAAGTGGTTGAGCGCTCGCCTTGAGCTGAAGAGCTGAGGGACAGAGCCCAGGCCCAGAGTTCAAGCCCATGACCGATACACACACACACACACACACACACACACACACCGTGCAATATAAAAGAATTATATGTTATGAAGAATATGTATGTTTATGGATATGTGTGTGTATGCCATTATTAGAACTTTGAATGTCTTTGGTGTGCCTTCAGCTCGTATTTCAGTGCTCTTTGAGTTTTGTTGTCATAGAAGACAGTTGCTGGAATCTTATGCAAGCATCCTCAGTGCCTTCATTTCACACAGTAAGATGCGGAGCGAGCTCCCCAGGCTGAGCGCACACTGCTTGCAGGGTCTGTGGGACTCCGCCACACCCCTCTGCCCACGGGATCCGAGTACTCATGGGCTCACATCCACCTTAACGCAGAGACTCTGAAATCAGCCCCCGGAGGGTGGCATGGGGGGGCGCTTCCTACTTCAGAGCTGACCTAAAAATGCGATGTCTGAAATGGCTGTTCTGGGATGTGACGGAAATCGTCTGTAACTACAGCACGGGGAGGGGGGGAAAGCGGAGCTGTTGACCAGCACATTCTCATCACCAGGCGGAAGGCGATGCTAGCTGAATCAGCTGCTCGGGTCTGGGCAGGTGGATTTGGGACCTCTAGGTCAGGCAGAAGGCGCCTGGGTGAATGACACACAAACCCCACCCATCCTCCCCGCAGCAGGCCAAGACACGCTCCCTGGGGAGGAAGGAGGTGAAGGTCCTGTCTCTCGCCCCCGGCTGAGCTGGGATTCCACCCACCTCTCTTCACTTGGAAGAGGCCGCAGTGGTTCAAAAAGAAGGACATTCCTCCAGTGGCCTCCTGGCGACCTTCCAGGAGAGAGGGGACCGACAGAGAGGTGCTGACATGTTCACGCTCAACCCGTGCCCCGTAGCCCCCAATCGAGTGGGATTGCAAGATAAAGCTGTGCGAGATACCCTTTCCACCCGAGGATGGAGCTTGGGATACTGATCTTCCAGGAGCTACACTGGCCACCAGAAACAGACACCGCTATGTTTACAACAGAGGCTTTCACAGTTGCTTTTTTAGAGAAGAACATTTGGGAACAGGCTGCGACTCAACCTCTCCATCCCACCCCCTCTCAGACAAAGTGCTCCTGCCCCTGATACCCAATGAACTTAGTTGACGCTCCCTTATTTCTTGCTCCTCGACATCGACCCGGTGGGCTGGTTGGTTCCTGGATTGTGAACCAGACACATTTTCCTTCCAAATTTCCATGACCTGCCCTTAGCCCAGTCCACACCCCCCCTATCTCTGATCACTGAGGCCAACTGTCTTAATGGATATATGCAATTAGTAGGTGTAGAAATCCAATTTAAAAAACAGTTCCAGGGATCAGAGGCTTAGAAAATGAGATGCTAGGGGGCTGGGAAGGTGGCTCTGTGGTAGAGCGCTTGCCTTGCATGCATGAGGCCCTGGGTTCGATTCCTCAGCATCCCATAAGCAGAAAAAAGCCGGAAGTGGTGCTGTGGCTCAAGTGGTAGAATGCTAGCCTTGAGCTGAAGAGCTGAGCGACAGCGCCCAGGCCCAGAGTTCAGGCCCCACGACCGACCAAAAAAAAAAAAAAAGGAAGAAAATGAGAAGCTAGAGGAAAATGAGGCGAAAAGTGAGGAGGCAGAATGTTTAACTGATTTTGATCGTTATTGTAAGAAACAGTCTGTCAACTTGTCAACCTCAAAATATCATCTGCCGCTGCGCTGGTTGGAAACAAACCTGATGCTCTTCTCAAACAGCAGGAATCCTTCGTGTAGCTTTCCTCCTTATTAAGGGTCAGTGAATGCTTTTAGAAATTAGTGGCATTATCATTAACAATAGTTTCGCTTCGCAGGGAAAGTTATGGATAATTGTCTCTCGTGACATTCTGTGGCTCTCGTTATTTTAAAATTGAAGGGTTAGAACCCATGCTGGTCTGAAATATGAACCATGGGGAGATTCACTTAGACTGGACTAAAAGCCCGGATGAGCATTAATGGCCGAAATATTGATTGACAACAGCTGTTGCACTTAGCGCCGCGCCCTTAGGGTCTTGGGTCCCCTCTTCTACGCTCATAAAAGAACAACTGCTCCTTGCTGCCTGATACCACTCAGAATGCCACGATCTGTCACTGGACGCTGCCGATTTTTATGGGACATCTCTAATACCGTCTATTTGTGGGTTGAGAAGTTTAAGCTTGGGGGCGGAGCAACCTAAAACTCCCCGATGCTTCCCTTGGTTCCAGGTCTTTCCCGCAGCAGGGACTTCAGCCTCTGAATTCATGTTGAAAATTTGCTCGCCATTCAGTGGGCCCGAAGGATGGCACGAAGCCATCACGTTTAGAATTTTTTAAATTCATTACACTATGTCATTGTAAGGTGTCCAAGTGTCTGCTGATCCCTCCAGAGTATACATAGTAAAGTTTAGCAGAGCCTATTCAGTTTAAGAAAGTTCTCTCTCTGTGTGTGTGTGTGTGTGTGTGTGTGTGTGTGTGTGTGTGCAGAGGGGGTGGGAACTTCTATCTCACAGGGTGTGTTCTGCACAACATGATTCTTGCACCCGCCATGTCCACATCTTTCTAGAAGGATCTATACCCAGACATGCTGGATCAGAAACTCCGGGGTTGTGGCCCAGTAGTCCTTCTGGTGCATTCAAGCTTTGCCGTTACTTCAACAAGAGAATAATAAGCGTGGGTTTCCTGGCTTTAACTCTATTTTCTATCATGGTGTGTTTTCCTTTCCTTTTGCATCCATTACCTTCCTAGGGTGGAGAGGGAATTGGGGGCCATCTCCCCATTCGGGAGAACCCTCGATTCACTACTGACAACGCTCGTTATGCTCGTATGAGAAAATAGATTGCTTTGTGTGGACGTTATGAAGTGAGAAACTGAGTCAGTATGTGCTAGTGAGAGAACTCTGTTCTCTCTTTCTCCTGACCACCTTGTCTACAGTACTATATTAGAACTCTAATACCATGTTAGAGTCCAAGGGAGACAGTACAGTGCACACCGGTGATCTCGGCATTCAGGAGACTGAGGCAGAAAGATCATAAGTTCAAGGTTAGCCTGACCAGGTATTCAGACTCTGTCTCACAAAACAAATAAAACCCTAAGTATATTTTAGATACAAGGCCCTTGTCCGTTGTATGACCAGTGAAGATCTTCTCCCAATCCGTGGGCTTTCTATCGATCTTGCTAGCGATGTCCTTTGCCATGCAGAAGCTCTGCAACTTCATGCAATCCCATGTGTCTGATTTGTTGTGTTTCTGGGTTTTTATTAAGAAAGTTTTAGCTTGTGCCAAGGAGTCCTAGTGTTTCTCCTATTCCTTCCTGTAATGTTTTCAGGGTATCTGCTTTTACCTCAAGGTCTTTGAGCCATTTGGAATTGATTCTACATAAAGATCTAACTTCAGGTTCCTACATGTGTATAGCCAATTCTGCCAGCACCATTTGTTGAAGAGGCTGTGTTTCTTCCATACTGTGTTTTGGTTTTTGTTTGTTTGTTTGTAGGTCATGGGGCTTGAACTCTGGGCCTGGGCGCTGTCCCTCAGCTCTTCAGCTCAAGGCGGGCGCTCTACCACTTGAACCACAGTCCCACTTCAGGTCTTCTGGTAGTTAACTGGAGATAAGAGTCTCACAGACTTTCCTGCCTGGGCTGCCTTTGAACCGCGATCCTCAGATCTCAGCCTCCTAAGTAGCTAGGATGACAGGTGTGAGCCACCAGCACTTGGCTGTGTTTTGGGGGTAGGGGGGGACATAGGTCTACAGGTTGAGATGTGATATACACCATGGAGTTCTACACTTCCATCAGAAAGCATGACATTGCCCCATTCGTAAGGAAATGGGAAGAGATGGAAAAATTGTAGTAAGCTAAGCAAGCCAGGTCCAAAGAGATACAAGTTACACGGCTTCCCTCATTTGTAATAACTAGAATATGTCTATGATATTCTTAGCAGAGGATCACAATAGGACATATGTAATGAAGCATAGCAACATGAACTCCAGGAGTCAGAAATAAGATGTTCTCATTATGTCCTGCATGCACTTATTGCCTCCTGTTTCTGTTTCTTTTTCTGAGCCTTTGTCTTGTATATAAGCTTCTCTGATCTGTGGAAGGGAAAGGGAATCACAGACCCTGCAGGACAAAGGCTGAGCTAGTGCAGCAATGATACCCAGTCCTTGCTAAACATGTATGTGTGTGTGTGTGTGTGTGTGTGCATGATGTATGTGGTGCATTGCATGTTACACACACATGGGCGTGTGTGCGTGGGATGTGTATGTCCTGTGGTGTGTGGTGTGGTGTCAGGGTAGGTGGTAAACATGAGACTCTGGAGAGAATCTGATGGTTGGAACTTTCTAGCTTTGCTCATATGATCCTCCCAGGGGCCTAATGGACTCCATCTTGCTATACAACACCGCGGGGTATTTTGTGGTGGATGTTGTTGGCAGGGTCCTCGAACAGTTCTGGAATCGTGGTGGGCTTTTCTTCTCCAGCAAAGCAGGTGGATAGTGAGCTTACACAAGGCTGGCGGTGTGTCCCCTTCAACAGCACCCACCCTCCCCGCTAGTCCTTTGAATTTAGAAAGTTCAGTGGGAGGGCAGAAAAAGAACAAAAGCCCTAAATAACCAGAAGGTGCTGTATGTTTCTGCTTTAGATTTCATCTCTGACTAATTGTGAGGTAAAACCAAATAGCTAAAAAGGAAAGTGTTAGGGAGCACATTTAAGCATCAGAGATTCAAGAAAAAGGAGAGAAGGAGAAAGGAAGGGAAGGGAGGGTGGAGGGGAGGGAGGGAGGAAGAAGGAAGGAAGGAAGGAAGGAAGGAAGGAAGGAAAAAGAAAGAAAGAAAGAAAGAAAGAAAGAAAGGAGGGAGGGAGGGAGGGAGGGAGGGAGGGATCTAAAGTTTGCTCATCACATAAGCATCCAAAGAGTGAATAATTGGATTTCCTTCTTCGATTGCAATGATGTATCTCTTCTTTTAGGACTCATCATGGGATTGATCTTGCGGTATGCTACAACACCAACTGATATTGAAAGTGGGACTGTCCATGACTGTGGAACATTGGCCTTCAGTCCATCAACTCTGTTGGTTAACATCACTGACCAAGTCTATGAGTATAAATACAAGCGAGCAATAAGCCAGCACAACGGCAGCCCTCCCCAAGCCAACGCCATACTCGAAAAGGTAAGGCTTGGCTTCCGTCTGCCCATAAACCTGTGTTTTTCACTTTCACTGATTGCATCCTATATGGGCCTTCGTATTTATGTAGCACATACGCCATACACATGTACTTTTACACAATACACTATCAGGGCCAGTCTGTGCAGTAAATACTACCGTATAATTCAGTTCTTTGAATTATAATCTTATCATACGCTTAGCTGCAATTTTTCTGAGAAGTTGGGAAATGTCTGTAATATAATCCTTTTGCAAGGTATAACTACATTAAGGTTTTGTTGAAAGCCTTTTATAAAATTCAGCAATTCTACTTCTCTTGATACTTGATTCAAGCTTTTGCCCTTGTGATGTGAGTGGCGTCCATAGAAGGAGGAGCTGGTTTAATGGGGGAAAGCTACCTAAGTATGGCTTAAAACAGGTGCATGAGTCAATCCCTCTCACTAGGAAAGTAGTAGAGGTTAATATTATTGAGTTGGAAAATCAGCAGGCCGTGCGCATGGGAAGGTCTTACAGACCTAGTAAGTTTTCAAAAGAGTTGTCAGCACAGTTCAATTTATGCTTCCTGCCACTCATAAATCAGTTGACTATTGTGCAAAAAGTTAAAGGAAATTGCCCGCGGATATTTCGCCAAGTCTTCACTTCCTGTGTGAAAAGTGACAATGTCGTCGGTGAAGGAAGTTATTTGAGGGTAAATTATACCAAGGGAGGGACCTGGCCTGCCTCAACGAAGAGAATCCTCCAGGCTGCAGGTACACCAGCAGAGATAGATAGTAGGTACCACTGTGTATTTTAGAGGTGTTTAAAAGACACTCTTATTTGAGCTAGCTAAGCTCATGACTTGGGGATTTTGTTTTGAGCCATTAAATAAACGAACTGAGTTCAGCATCGCAGTTTTTGTGTTTCCTAGGCTTCCCAAGTCTCCTAATTTTGACTTAACACATGGAGGAGTGGATTTGGAAACTCCATTTGCACCAGACATTCCCTTTGCTTGATTTTTTTTTTCTCTGTCTAACACAGAGGCCAGGGGCAAAGCTCTTCCCTTAACAGGAAAAACTTGACCAGAGTCAACCGACCCTGAGATAAATAGGTGCCTTTTACCCTAAGGCCCTCTTGGGAAGAATAAAGCAAGGGCTGGAGAGAAACCTCCTTTAAGACTTCTCTGGCTATGCCAAGAGGAAGCAGCATCAGGATGACAGATCGGCAGCTGGGTGTTGAGGAAGCCCCCTGGGGGGAGAAGCCCTCCGTTCTGCAGAGACGCGAGTCTGATTTGTGTTCCTTGATCCTGACACATCTGGGCTCTGTTCCCGAGAGCTCCGAATCCAGCTTCACTCAGCTGGAGTTGAGAGATCCATTGGGACCCGAGGAAACCGGAAGCGCTTCTCTTTAGCTCTTCCCTCTCACCTTCTTCCCACCATCTTTGCAGAAATTTGGCCTCGGCTAGGACTCAGGAATGTCCCGAGACTCCAAATCTCCCATTCGATGCTAATAGCATCCTTGAATGGCACCGATTTTTCTCTACTGGTCATTCAACAAATGTCTGTTGGAAACTCGGCCTGCCCCATCTTATTTACCAATACTCCAAGGTCGAGTTGAACGTTGAGAGTCTCAGGAAGAAAAGTCGGTAGTAGAGGAAGGTAGGGAAGAGCTCAGTCTTCCATGGGCACAGAAAGGCCCGGAAGAGACGGTTCACACGTGGCCAGCAGGCACGTGGCCGGCAGGGGGACCTGGGTTGGCCAGCAGCCCGGACCTCCCAGTGCCCGGGCCAGGGCTTGGGAGGGGGTACCTGTCATCCCTACTGGCCATTTTGTATCCAAATATCCATCACGAATTTCTCTGTGGCCTCTGTGGTGGGGATTTATTGTTTGGAAGGCTGAATGGCTGACATCCTCATCTGGAAATAAGCAGAGAGCAAGAGAGAGAGAGAGAGAGAGATCTGCACGGCCCGCAGAGAGGAAGGAGGCTGAGTATAGAGACTCAGACAGGAAGCAGCAAGGAGAAAGGTTTGTCCATTAGACCTTACGTCTGAATCGATCAAACGTAAAATGGCCCTTGCAATACATTTCCCCTTTCCTCGGTTCCTTCGAACGCATTCAGCGGGGGCAGGGGTGCCCGTTTGTCTCGGCTGGTCTCCGCCATGTAGTTATGTAAGGGCCGGGGGCCAATGCATCTTCCTGGTTTTCTCCTCGGGTCATAGGAAGCTCACTGGCACTGACACAAGGTAGGAGCCACACCTGATAGTATGGACTGGGGCAGGACGCCGGGAAGCCCGCGAGTCGCTGGGCGGTAGAACTGGATCGAGCTGGATCTGACACCTCTGGCTGGGTCTGTGAAGGCAGCTCCAGGCGTGGGAAGACGTGTCCCGGATGGACTGGGGACCTAGGTGGACCAAAACAGAGCCCAAGGAGGAGGCCAGCGAGGGCTGGCCTTGCCTCTCTCCACTTCCTGGCAGCTAGGATGTGATCTGACCACCCCACCGTGGTGGGCGGACCCCAAAATAAATCCTTCCTCTCTGAAGTGGCTTGTGTGAGCACGGCGATGATGATAAGGTTCTGTTCACCTGTGGCACCAAGTACTTGGGCTGCTCCTGAGACCTGAGCAAGAAGACTTATCTCTGAGGTGGGGCAGGCCGGGATTTAGTCTGCTCCCCCTCCCCCTCCCCCTCCCCCTCCCCTGCTGTTTGATCCCCCCTCCCCCCCAGGTTTTAGCGGCTGGTGGAGAAGTTTGGTGTTATTTTTTTATAAGCACTGTTGTTTTTTCTTCTTCTTAAGGAGAGTGCCCCATTAAAAACAAATGTATCGCCTGACTCGATCACACTTTCTGCTGAGCTCAGCACCCCGCTCTTCTTCCTCTTTGCCCAGTCCCCCTCCAGCAAGCCAGCTCTGGGCTGGGCTTCCTGCTGACTCAGCCTTTTTCTACCCTGCCTTCCCCAAGCTGGGAGAATGGAAAGAGAGAGACAGACAGACAGACAGAGAGACAGACAGAGAGACACAGAGACAGACACAGACAGAGAGACAGAGGGACAGAGACAAAGACAGACAGAGAGCCAGAGACAGAAAGACAGACCTTCCCTCCATCCCACTTCCGGCCCCATCCTGTTACTGTGATTTTTCTGTCCTGACCCCTCCCACCCAGCTCCACCTGAGGTCTCTTCCCTAGAGATCTTTCCTGAACTCAGCAGACCGTGTCTCCCCTGCTGATTATGTCGGAGCATCTGTCCTTGATGCTGACCTTCAACCAAGCATGTATTTCCCTGCTTGGCACCGCCATCTCTGCCTCCTGAGTCAGCTTTCTTTGTGTGTGTGGCGGGGGGGGGGGTCATGGGGCTTGAACTCTGGGCCTGGGCGCTGTCCCTCAGCTCCTCAGCTCAAGGTGAGCCCTCTACCAACTTGAGCCACAGCGCCACTTCCGGTTTTCTGGTGGTTTATTAGAGATCAGAGTCTCGTGGACTTTCCTGCCCGGGCTGGCTTTGAACCTCGATCCTCAGATCTCAGCCTCCTGAGTAGCTAGGGTGACAGGTGTGAGCCAGGGCCACCCGGCTCCTGAGTCAGTTTTCTCCAACCACATTTTCTCAGCCACTCACCCAGGTGCAAAAGCACAGGTTGTTTTCCTCCTTCTGGGATTGTATATATTTTTTAACCTCTCTCTTTCACCTCTAAGCGCTGCTAAGCCCCCAACCCTCCTTGCCATCTGCCTGCTTTATTTTAAGCAAACACCTGTTGGATGAGTGGATGTCTCCCGGGTTTGCTTCTATCTCTTCCTTCTACGGCAGCTTCCTGCTTACACGACAGCTTTACCTGCGTTCGCTCTGAGTGACCTCGGCCTCCTCCCTGCCCAGCCCAACCCCGAATTCCCCCCCACACACAGATCGACCTACAACACCATCATCTTCTTCTCTTTTGGGGGGCGGGGAGAAGAGGGAAGAAGACATGTCAGTTTGTAGGCGGTAACACATTCACAGGACTCAGTGCTCAAAAGATGCTAGGAAATCTGTGATCGCCACGGGGGCGGACGCCATCTCTTTGCCAGCCTGCTCTGGTCACCCAGGGCTACCCATCACAAGGTGGTGGGTGCGCAGTCAGGCGGATGGAGACCCGGGTCTCAGGGGTTCGGCGTGCTCTGTTGGAGGCTGTGTAGGAGCCCGTGAGGAAAGAGGAAAGTATCAGAGTGTAGGGGAGTCTGGCGGTTTAAAATTCCTTGCCACCAGCTCTATGCCTGAAACTTCAGGAAGCTTCCAGATTTCTTCAGGAAGCTTCTGCAGTCCTCTGTGGCTTGGTTGGTTCCCATGGTCATCATCCTTCGACGCTCAGGTCCCAGGCAGCTCAGAGCAAGCCTTCCCGCAGGGCTAGAGCTGCAGGAGAGCCCCAAGCCACAGCTCACCCTGATGCTTCATACCTATGCAATCCTCGGCTTCGTGCAGTCGGTCATTTGTGGTGACATCAAGCCCGGAGGGATGATCGGCACATCACAGGCCTCTCACCGGAAGGAATCGGCAATTGCCGAAGTAACAGGAGTCTCGTGCTTGGTTCTAAACCTTGCTTCTATCTCAGTCCCATTTGCCTGATGTTCTCTGGGAACAGAGACCCCTCCTGCAGGGCGCACGCACAGCCGGCCCCCAGCCTGTCACCGTGACTGGCACTCGGCACGCCGTAGATTGCTTCTCCCGTCCCTGGGAAAACGGGGATAATTACACTTACCACTCGGGAGTGTCGTCAGAACCGATGAAACGCTGTTTTCAAAAGACAGAGCGGGGCCACATCGATCACGGGCCGTTCTTCTCGGTCTTTATTGAGTCGTTGGTCAGAGCACTGACGTTTCTTCCCAGGTTAAATCCTGGTGAATCACCCCCCCACACACACACACACCCCGTCTCCCCTCTCAAGCCCACGCAAACTTTTGCCTCTACACCTTTCTGACGTACTTGGGAGTGAATCTTGGCACACGCGTTCCAACTTCAGAAATTACCTGGGTAACCTAGTTAGCCTACCTCTGTGGACATGGCCGGGCAATATCGAATCCCAACCGGGTACATATTTAAAATTCATTGTGAAGATATTGATCTTTTTGCCCCCCCATATTCTTTTCAGGATTTGAATCTTCATGCGTGCACAGATTTCACTCTTTTCCCCCAATGCCACCTTCTCCGAGTGCCACATCTTTATCTAGATAGAGTGGTCGAACTGTGGAAAGCCGGCGGAGATCTGGAGGATCAGAGTTCAGAGTCAGCCCAGAGTCAGCCCAGTTTCTAGAACTTTTCTCTAGAAACTTCATCTCCAAGAGGACCAGCAAAAAGCAGGCCTGGAGGCATGATTCAAGTGGTAGAGAGCCAGCTCAGCAAGCATGCCCAGTGACTGCAAGGGCCTGAGCTCAAACTCCAGTACTGACAAGATAGAACACAGTTATGCTGGGTAGTGCTTGTCTGTAAGATTTGGTCTTTTTTTTTCTTTCTGATTTCCTTTATTGTTGTTTTGGAGGTGATATCCAGCGGGGTTACCTTTACATACATCAGGTCATAAGCACATTTCCTTTTACATAGTGTCATCTGTTCCTTTATTCTCTCCCATTTCTTCCCTTCCATCTCCACCCATGAAAATCTGATCTTAAGACGCTAAGGAACATTCTTTCACTGGAGCATTTTTAGCTTTCTGCTCTCTTTCACTCATGGCTTAGATTTCTGACTGCCTTCCCTTTTATTATAATTAAAAACTTAACTGTTTAGGGATTTTTGGTTTGTTTTAAGCCTGTGGCTCACACCTGTCATCCTAGTTACTCAGGAGGCTGAGATCTGAGGATCACAGTTCAAAGCCAGCCTGGACAGGAAAAGTCCCTGAGACTCTCATCTCCAATAAACCACCAGAAAACCGGAGGTGGCGCTGTGGCTCAAAATGGTAGAGTGCTCGCCTTGAGCCGAAGAGCACAGGGACAGCGCCCAGGCCCTGAGTTCAAGCCCCACCACCACCACCACCCAGCCTTACCTCAGAGGCACAAAGTCTAGAGAAAATGGCAAGTGGCACATGTCATTTCCATCTGGAGGATGGTATAACCACAGAGCCACAGATCCAACCCTTTCTGAGAAATTGTCTCGGCTTGGAGTTACTCCCAGAGCTCTGAGTTAGCAGTTCCTGGGCCTCTAGCGAGTCTGAGAGGAACACAAATCTGTTTTGTATGTACAAATAAATCCTCGCATGCCGCGCGCCATCCTCAGCCTGCCAGTTTCATCGGGCTGCTCTGGGAAACATAAACCCAGCAGCCCCTCGGTTAACCCCCGCGCAGGGAATGGGGCATTCTGATGGGCCACGTGTTCTGGCTGAGCCGTGAACGCAGCTCTGCAGAACAAGGGCAGAGGTTACAGGTCACGGCCTTGGTTTCCTCCTCCAGATGGGCAGAGCCGCGGGTCTGCCTTGCTGTAGCGCTCAGGATCCATCTCTGCTCTTCAACCCTCCAAACGTGCTATTCCTCGGCCCTCTAAGAAGGCTCATTTAAAAAGAATAGAGTAGCCATGTGAGTCCGAGCATCTTAAAGAGAGCAAACTGAGATGGTGCTTACTAGGTGTCAGGCAAGAATGATTGCCTGTTTCATCCTTACGAGCCTCTTTTCATTAGGTACCTGTGGTTGTGTCCACTAGAAAGATAGAGGAACGGAGGTACAAAGGGTAGACTCCCGAGCAAGGGGCTTGAGCTTGGAGCCCAGGAAGCCTGGCTGTCAGTGTTCAACCCCCTCAAACGGCCGTCGGTAATCTACATAAGAGAAGGGACCTGGATCACAAGCGGAAATAGTTTCTATTCTCACTTTCTCTGCTGGTTTTCATATATTAAAAGCAAGAGTTTAGGGAACTAAAAGGTTAAGTCGAAACATTTTAATGCTCCTCTCTCTCCAAAGGCTATGACAGAATTTCCAGACCATAAGGAAGAGGTATTAAGAACCCAGAATGAAGTATAAAACTCAAAACCTGCTTTTTTTTTTTGAAAAAAAAAAGGCTGAATTTTCTAAAAATAAAAGAATATACTGGGTTCACTTTACAAGGGGTGGATGAGTCATTATCTTTACCATCTGTACTGATGGTTACATCTGAGGTGTAATGTGTGTGGTACATGTGTATACGTGTGTGTATGTGTGTGTGTGTGTGTGTGTGTGTGTGTGTGTGCATGCACTCAAACCAGTTCTGGAACTTGAACTTGAGGCCTGAGCACGGTCCCCACACTATTTTGCTCAAGGTTAGTGCTCTACTACTTGGGTCACATCTCCACGTCCAGCTTTTCTGGTGGTTAACTGGGGACAAGAGTCTCATGGATTTTCCTGCCCAGGCTGGCTTTGAACCAGCTTTCTCAGATCTCAGCCTCCTGAGTAGCTAGGATTGCAGGTGTGAGCCACTAAACACCAGGCCAAAGGTTTTGGGTTTTTTTTGGGTCCAGTCGTGGGGCCTGAATTCTGAGCCTGGACGCTGTCCCTCAGCTCTTCAGCTCAAGGCTAGCGCTCTACCACTTGAGCCGCAGTGCCACTTCTGGCTTTTTTTTTTCTTTTTGCTTATGTGGTGCTGAGGAATTGAACCCAGGAACTCAGGCATGCAAGGCAAGCGCTCTACCACTGAGCCACCTTCCCAGCCCCAAAGGTATATTTTTTACTGAGGTATTTGCACAAGCCAATGTAATGGAAGAAATGACTGGAGTTTAATGGTGTGTGTACAATGCAAGGTGTACAATTTTTCTAGAAGTGAGAAAAGTATGTAGAGCAAGAGGAACTTGACAGTTCATGAGCTACACTATTTAACGGGCACTTTTCTTGGGATCTCTCCTTAGGCAAGCTAAAAACCTGGAGTGGCTTCTCCCTTTCCCAATACCCTAGCACCCGACAGCCCATCCTGTCTCCCAATCCTTCCAGAAGCTTCCTTCTTCCCACAGCTCCGGGACACCAGCCTCTCTCATTTGGATTGTATCCTGGTCACCCAAGTAATTATCTTAAAGCATGAATTAAGTGAGAATTAGGATGGAAAGATGCAAGCTTTTCCATGTAAAGTATTACTTTCCACCGCTCTTTGGAACTTCCAAACTTGCATATTATCCTCGTCTTCGCGTCTGCTAATCCAGGGGAATGCATTACTAATTGCTCGTTCTTCTTTCTTGGCAGATGACCTTCGACCCAGAAATCTTCTTCAATGTTTTACTGCCACCGATTATATTCCACGCAGGATATAGTCTGAAGAAGGTAAGTCTGAGCGCATGCTTATCTTTTTTTCTTAAACATTATTATTTAGTAGAGAATTCTGCCCGTATGAAAGGGAAACGGTTCTTTTGTGGGATGGCCAATTTAGTAAGCTCTCATTATCTAGGGTGTAGCATAACAACTTCACACTTGAAGTGCTTAGATTCTTCTCCACCCCTCTCCCCTAGTATCAGGGTCAATGAGCAGCTGCTGAACTCTTTGATATGTGATGATCTGCAGCAAGGTGAATGTGAGAAATTAATAGAAACAAAACAATTCTTAAGTCATCCTTGGCTTGAGTCGCACTTCTACCGTTCCAGACGATTGTGTCCTAGTTAGCATCAGGTTTACCCATTGGGGCGCGTACACCAGCATGCGCGGATGCTCGTGGAGAGAAGGCCCATCTCTCCGTGTCTGTGTACTTTCCCGACTCATCTGTGCATGATCCACAGGTTTGGAAGTCGCTCACGTAAGAGTTTTAAGTCCTGGCATCTGCGGTGCCACAGAATGAGGCTCTGGCTTGTAGGGTTTGGGGGTGCTGGGCTATCTTGGGGCCTGCTCTTCTCTCTGGCCTGTCCTGGCAGCTACATCATCGGATTGTTTCGTGAAATCCGGGCTCCCCCTTGCTGTGGGTACTGGCTAGGGTGCTCCCACAAAACCCAAAAATCAAAACCTCGAAAGCATTTCTAAGGAAGGCCTTGAAGAAGTTCAGAAGGCTGGCTCTGTGCAGGTCACCCCTCCTCAGAACGCCACCCCAACCGGACGCCTCGTTCCGTGTGCGGTTCACTGAAGCCAATAACTCGGGCTTCTAGAATCTGTCGACATCGCATTTACACGAGAGGGCAGAGAAATGCAAAGGTGGCGTAAGTCCCTTAGACATGGCTACCCCGTCACCTTGCGCACCTGTTTATGTTTCCTCTTCCCTTCCTTGCCCTCCGTCCTCACAGGGGGATAGATCCCTTCCATCTCCAAGAACACACTAGGCTGAGATTTCAGACCCCAAAATCTGCCTGCGTAGTAGAGAGAGAGAGGACCTGTAAAGAGGAAAAAACCCACCACCACCATGATTTTAGCTTTCTTTCCCCTCGCACGAAGAGATGCAGCTCTCATCTCTGAAATGGACGTGTCCCTTGTTTTCCTCCCTAGAGACACTTCTTTCAAAACCTGGGGTCGATTTTGACGTATGCCTTCCTGGGGACGGCCATCTCCTGCATCGTCATCGGGTGAGTGACATCCGGAACTCGGGCTCCCTGGGATGGGAAGCCGGGGATGGGGCCCGGCCAAGTGTGCTTGTGGTTTGTCGTAGTGGATCACGTCTGGATTTGTTTGGCTTCTCAACTCGTCTTGTTGCTGTGCTAGAGATTCAACCTATAGCTTGGGCCATGCTACAAAAGGGCTCTACTCCTGTTTGTGTGTTTTTTAACCCCCGGTACATCATATCTTCATACATTCTTCTTGGTACACACTAGGCAAACCGCAGCTCAGTTGCTGGGCCCTCTCTGTACGTTTGGGGGCTTCTGATTCAGGAAATGAGGCTCACTTGGCTCGAAGTATATTGTATTGTTCACTGGTAGCTTGAATTACGCAGACATGCTCCCCTTCATCTCTGCAAACCTGGGTTTGCTAGCAGCGCCATCGTAACTATCTGTCACGTCGTTTCCGACTAGAGGATAGTTTTTATGAGGTCAGACTGAAACGAGAAAGGTCCAGATGTCAGCAGAATCGAATGCTGTTAGGATGGCTTTTGTTTGTAGGGGATGAGCTTGATTCTCAATATATTTGGGGGGTTAAGTTGCTGAACCCTAAATCAAGGTACGTAGACTACGGCTTGCGGCTCGTCATAAAGCAAACCGTGGCCTAAAACAGCCAAACCTGCCCATCTGACATAGGACCTTGGATCATCCATGCAGAAAAGTGTCCAGCTGCTCGGACGACAGGTTGTACAGGTCAGCCAGCTCTCTCCTGCAGCTGTGGTTCCAACCAGCACAAGAAAGATGCTGTACACAGGCTCTAGCGCCACCTCCAGCCTTCCTTTCCCTCATGCAGTCTTTGCTGTATGCCAGTGAGCGCCTGGAGCAGTCTCTGTTCAAGCCTGTTCAAGGAGATTGCGTGGTGAACACCAACAAATGCTGTGGAACCAAAGATAGAATTTGAGCCAGACGCCCGTAGCTCACACCTGGTACCTTAGACACTCTGGCGGTTAAGGTCTGAGAAGAGTGGTTCGAAGCCAGCCCAGACTGGAAAGTCTATGAGATTCTTATCTCCAGTTTTAATTTACATTTCCCATCTTTTTCCCCCCCTTCCAATTAGATGTTCTATAAAAAAACATCTATCACCTGTAGAGAAGTGGTGGACAATAGCTCTTATTATTTACATATTTTATTTTCTGTACTTCAAAGGGCATACAAAGGAGTTACAAGTTACTGTCATTGCACGTATTAGAATACATGAACTTATCAAAAAGTTAAATAAATCCATTAAATTGCTAGAAGATAATAATACTATGGGGTAAACGTGACCCATAACACACACACACACACACACACACACACACACACACACACACACAGAAGCAAAAAGGCGTGACTCAGATGATAAGGTGCTTGTCTTGCAAGTGTAAGGTCCTAAGTTCAGACCCCCAATATTGCAAGGGGAGGGAGGGAGGGAAGGAGGGAGGGAGGGAGGGAGGGAGGGAAGATACAAACAAGTTTTGCCCCTGACCAAGGACTGCATTCGTAGTTAGTTTGGTGTTTGAGATGGGGTCTTGCTAGTAGCCCAGGTTCAAATTCAGTCCTTCTACCTGGCATGCTTTGGTCATGAGGCCGCTGTCGATAATAATCTTTATTCCTTTCTTGGAGTAGAAATTGTATAGTGTGTCATCACATGTATGAAAAAAAACATGCTAATGCACCCGTACATTAAGTAAGGACATCTTCTGAGAAAGCAAAAGGCAATAGTCAGTTAGGCCCGGCAGCATGTAAAATTTTAGATTTTAAGCTGGGAGGGTGACAGGGTCTATTGAGAAGCTGCAGATACTCCAGGCACGTGACCGTGTCCCCAATGTCCCAAGGATTTGCACGAGAACCAGACTTGTAGCCCGGGAGCAGCTGGTGGGGTCACCGGGGGCTTTGACCCCTGGAACGCCCACCCCGCGTGGATGCCAGGTTTTTCGCTGGACTTGAACACACCCCGGGCGTCGTTCTAGTTTAACCTTGATGGTCCTGCCTCAGTGATGCCGGAAAGAGAAAACTTGGCACTTCACAGACGTGGTCTGTTTTAATAAGGACCCATTTTGGGGAAAATGATTGGCAGACTTCAGAGTCGGGCAAACCCTAAACGGGGTGTGGGATTATATTAAGGTAGCCGTTAAACCTGAGGGGGTGACCGTCAGCCCCCCCACACCCCCAGGAAGCTTGAGTCTGGACCCCAAAGTCATCAGCCACAGGGCACCTGAGCCTCCATCATCAGCACCAGTTCAGCAGCCGTTGGCTCTTCTACTCCACCCTCTGGTGGCAAGACCTGTGCATGACACCCCCGCCGCCCGGAACCCCTGAAGTGCTAGCTGTGAAATCACACTTGGACTTTCTTGGGAGGGCGAAGAGGGGCCAGACGGAGCTGCCTTGGGGACCGATGAGTCCGACCTCCTGATTCTAGCTAGAGAGATTAAACGGTTGGCAGAGGTTTGAAAGAAGCGAGCTGTTTTTGTTTTCCCTTCTCTTGGGTCCCGGAGGAGGTATTGATGATTGATGATCTGCCAGGTGCCAGACACCCGTAGGAGCTTCGTGTCTTTTGGTCGCCTCTGAGTTTTATCTCAGTGCTTTTTCCCCCTCCATCTCCGCCGTTCCCTTAAGATCTTCCCAGGGGGTAAAATACCAACCCCCCACCCTGTCCACTGATGCCGGCATATTGTGCTTTAAGGACACTGTTTCTCAGTCGATTTCAGGCAGGGGCCCATGAAGGGCAAACTCCGAGGGGTCTGGGTTGGGGGGGGAGTCCTGCCGGGTTCTCTGGTGGGCTGTGCCGCCAGCGACGGGAGGTCTGGGCTCCATCACTGAGTCAGGTGCTTCTGAACTTGGAGCCAGCTGGGTGGGACCACATGGGGGGGCAGGGGTGCCCCTAGTCCCGTTTCTGTGACCGGGGTTGGGGTGCCCCTTCCCCTTTGCCCATCAGCATCTCAGCATGGCCAGCGAGGAGGGCTGTGCCTGCGTCCATGCTGGGACAATGGTTCTAGATGCTTCCATGACTGTCTTTCACGTCAGCTAACAGGTAGGCTGACAAAATGCTCTGGGGAAACAAAAGAAAACATCATTGGCGTCTGAGCCCACAGAATGAATTCACACCTGACCTCACCTGGAATCTGAGGCCACCCTAGCCAGGGCCTCTCTTCTCAAACATCAGGACACATTTAAATCCGCAGTCCCCGAGGTACCAGAAATAATTTTTCCCCTTTATTCTGTCTCTCCCATTAAGATCACTTTCTGATTTGAGCGTTTAATACGCTGAGTGCTCAGGATGCCGTTCCCCAGGATCACGTCCAACCCCGCAGGGCTGCGGGGCGCCAGGTCACCAGGGGCATGGGCCTCTCGTGCTGGGGTTATAAGGGGGGTGGCTGGGGTCACGTGAGGTCACTCAGCCCGTCCATCAATCATCACCCCGTCTCTCCTCACCCCACAAAGTCCAAACTGCAGCTACCAGCGTGGGCATCCCGTGTGGGCCTCTCTCAGGCAGACACATGGGATGCATCCTGCTGCTACAGTCCCCTGTCCCCAACACACGCGTGTGCTTATACATGTGTGTGTGGTAGAGACAGACAGACAGACAGAGAGAATGCTCTCTTGTACCCATCCATCTAGACTTAAGGTTCTGCCTACTCTAGAGCATCTCCTCTGCTCTGTGTGTGTGTGTGTGTGTGTGTGTGTGTCTGTGTGTGTGAGCATGCACACGTGTGCCAATCCTGGGGCTTGAACTCAGGGCCTAGGTACTCTCTTGTAGCTTTTCCTCTCCAGGCTGGGGCTCTACCACTTGAGCCAAGCTCCACATCTGGATTTTGGGTGGTGAATTGGAGATGAGAGTCTCACGGACTTTTCCTGTCTGGGCTGGGGTTGAACTGCAAGCCTCAGATCTCAGCCTCCTGAGTAGCTAGGATTGCAGGTGTGAGCCCCCGGGGCCCGGCTTCCTCTTCAACCCTGGCTCCGTTTGCAGGGAGTCTGGGAGAAGCTGGGTGCTCCCTCTCTTTAGACTCAGGTGTGGGGTGCAGAGGGGTGAATTCTTTACCCCCTGGCAAGTGAGGACAGGAAGTCAAGACCTCGGAGGGATGGCGGGAGGAGACAAGAGTCAAGCAGGCCCACAACCATCACAGCAATAGAGAGGGCGGGGAACAGACAGGCCTGGGTGAGAAGCCACGTCTTACCAACCTGGAGGTCAGTGGAATCCCTGTTTATTACAGAAGAGTTTCCGGAAGCACGGACTTGTAACTCAGGCTGGAAGGGGCAGCTCGATGTGGAGAATCAATCCCTGCTCCGTAGTGGTAGCCGTCCTCGAACTCGAGCCCAGCTTTGCTCCTGTGACCCCCAGCTCCCCGAGTTCACGGCGTGCACACGTTGCACACACACACAGGGTGATTTTTAATGCGCAAAGGCCAACTTTGCCTCCTCCAGTCACCCCGTTGCTGTGCTCTTTTGGGTTTAGAGCGTATTATATGTGTGACGGAATCACGATCCCACCAAAAATGTCACAAAGAGAAAATGCCACGTAGACAAAGTGCGTCCTAACACGGTTGGCACTGAACGGACATGGATGCTAGCGGAAGATCCATCGCCCTCCCCAGCCCCCGCCCCACCCCACCATTACCATCCAAGCTCAGCCTGTGAGTCCCTCGCTGCTTCCAGCCCAGAGTCAAGACCCCAAAAACTCACTCCCAGGGATACACTCCCCCTTCTACCAACCATTCCATCTGAACTGCGTCATTCGACAGGTGAAAAAAAAGATAGTATCCGGCGGTAGTTTTTCTTTACATCTCTCTTGCGCTGAGTCTTGTGAGGGTCTAGACGTGAGCAAAAGTCATTCACCCTGCCTTTCGGTGACTATCTGCTTCCATATCGTCAGGTTTTTTTTCTCTTTGTTTCCTGTTGAATCCTGGGAACGCGTTACTTTCTCAATGAGATTCGTCTGTCGTGATGGGAACTGTCCATATTTGTTTTTCCAGATGGTCATTTATTTATGA